CAGGAGATGAACTGGTGGACGTTGAAGCGATCTCGTACGGACTTGTTCTCGTCGCCCTGGCTCTCCAGAGGCATGTTGTAGACCTCAGAGTCCAGCAGCATCGTGCAGGCACTGAAAGGCACTGCCTGGTTGGCGATGGTCCTGGCCACCCGGCAATGCACCCGCAGGATCTCCTGATCACACGACACAATCAGCTTCTCCCACTCGATGCTGTGCTGTAGACGCAGCTTTCCCGCACCGTCTCCTGCTGCTTGAACAGCTCCTTCAGGGGCTCTGCCAGGGAAGGGGGGGGTGCAATCACAGGGATGTGCAGCTTGCTGAGCGGCTTGCCGTCCAGGAGGTAGGACCCAGTGTAGGTGACGTACTCGGCGTAGCACTGCGGTGCCTGGGGCCTGATGTAGCAGAGGATCTTGCGCTTCTCCTCAATCTTCTTTCGGATATGGAGGTACTCCAAGTAGGGATTGGACCTGTCGCTGTGGTAGGGCTCAATGTCGTCCAGCTTGATGGTGTCCACAATGGTGGCCAGCGCCTGCTGGATGACCTCCCGCGTCTGCTGCGTGCTTGTGTTCAGCTGCTACTGCAGCGGCTGGGTGGAGCACTGGAAGTGGCACTTGCGGGGTTGCTGGGCCTGGGCATCCTCCTCCTCAGAGGCACGGCCTTTGGCCCTGGCAGCTGGGGTGGGCCTGGGGGCGGGCTCCTTATCCGTAGGAGGTGTGCTCTGCTTGCTCTGCCTGGCCAGCATCTGAGCGGTTCCTGGTCATGCACTGAGGGACCTCCTCCACCTTGGGGGCTTTCAGGGGCTTGGCGGTGGGCTTGGGCTGTGGATCCGTAGCTTCTGGCTAGAGGCTGCCTGGGGGCCCCTCCACAGGGATGGCAGCAGGGGTGACCTCAGCACTGTCAGGCGTCTGTGTCGTGCCATCGGTGGCAGGGCTGTCGGGTGCATGATGGGGAGGTGGAGGGGTCCTCAGTCTTGGTCTCCTCAGCTCCGACCCCCAGGGGACACTGTTCGGGAGGGCCAGGGGCCAGTGCCAAGCCAGAGTCCAAGTCCTCGGGGGTCCTCTCGCCTGCCACAGTCTCTGCCTCTACCGCGGCTTCGAGAACCACGTCCAGCTTTGGCTCCTCTGAGGGCTCAGACTCGGCGGGAAGTGGGGCAGAGGCCTGGTCAGGAGGCAGTATGGGCTGCCCCTCAGCCTCAGGGGTGCTCTCCTCTGGTGGGATGGGACTCCCTTCCATGGGCTCAGTCTGGACATCTTAGGAGTCTTTGGGCTGGAGGGGGAGATCGGGCAGCGAGAAGGGCCGCAGGTCCAGGTCATCCTCAGGGCTGGTGAAGGCGTCATGCCAGGGCACTGGCTCGCCCTGGCTGAGGGCAGACAGGCTGTGGCCACCGTCCAGGAAGCTGCTTTCCAGGGTCCCCAGAGCCTCCACTTGGGTCACCATGGTGACAMACGTGGGCTCAGGGGCCACGTCAAGGGGTGCCTCAGGAAGTGACCTGCAGCCACTGAAGAAAGACTCCAGTCTGGCAGGGGTGGCATACGCAGTGGCCCCTTCTGTGGTGGAGACGGCCACAGAGATGGCTCCCACCCCATCGTCTTTGACCTCCTCCAGGCCCGGTTCGGTGGCTGGCAAGGGGTAGGAGCTGGGGGATACGGGGTTCAGGGGCTCTGAGGTGCTGAAGGGTCCTGGAACAGTGRTATGCAGGGTCTCTGCAGGACAGAAGTGTTTGGGGGACTCTGGGAACCTCTGTGGAGACTTCAGCAGAAGGTCGGAGCCCACAGGCCAGCTGACGGGGTTTTCAGAGGCACTGGCCACCAAGGTGGAGGAAAGGGCCTGCTCCACGGCAGGATGGGCCCACTCCACCAGCTCCTCGGTGATGACAGCGTTGAAGGGGCTCTCGTCCAAGGGCTCCAGGTAGCTGGGCTCCGGATGGATGATGGCTGCTGTGGCCTGCTGGTCCTCTGTGGCATCCAGAGGAAGGCCCATGTCCGGGGGCAGGGCCCCCTCAATGGCTGGGGCCAAGTGGTTGCCCCTAGTGGCAGGGGAGGGCTTGGCTGGTAGGCCAGGGATCAAGGCCTCTGGGGAAGGTGCACTGCTGACCATGGCAGCTTTGGGTGAGGAGAGGCCATAGTCAGGGGAGTAGTAGCCAGAGGACAGGAAGGCAAACTTCTCTGCTGGAACAGGTGGCAGGGCAGCCTTGTCCTCCATCAAGTGCTGGCCAGGAGAGTCGAAGCTGGGGGCGGCAGGAACACTCTTCTGTCTGAACAGCTTGTCCCCCACACTGAACTCCTCCTCAGGGGTTCTCCTGATGTCCATGGAGATGAAGCGGTACAGGTTTGTGGGGACGGGCCTCGTGGGCATCTAGCCCGGGTGCTCTGAAGCCCTGCTTGAGGCCACAGAAAACCCGTCATAGAGCAGGGGGAGCAGGCGCTGGTGGTGGGCAGCGGGTGCTGGGTGTCGGTACAGTTGAACACCAGGTCAGGGTAGTCATCATCGGCACTGCAGGACGGGGTCCGGGGCGTGTGCAGCTCCTCGTAGCTGGGACCCGACACCAGCGAGGTTGGAGTGGGCACCCCGGCGGGCTGGCTCTGCTCTGTCCCGGGCGAGGCGGGCAGGGCCTCCTTCAGGGGCCACAGTCTGCAAAGCTGTCGGAGGAGCCCTCGCTGGCCTTGTCGTGCGCCTCCTCCCTGCCCTCCTGCAGCGCCTCCTCCTCTAGCTGCTCCAGCAGGCTGCGCTCTGCCTCTGAGCCCCGCAAGGCCCCCCGGTCCGGCTTCTCCTTGTGCTTGCCCTTAGCCCTGTCCTCCCCGGGATGCTTCCTCTCCACCTTCTCGAATGGCATCTGTCTGCTTCGCCTCTCCTGGGTGGCATCGGCCAGGACCCGGTCCTTGCGGTCCTTGTCCCTCTTCTCTCTGTGCTTCTCCAAGGCCTTCTCCTTCTTGTCTCTGCCTGCTTCAGGGCCACCCCTGTCCTTCCTCTTCTCTTTGGGCTCCTTGTCCAAGGGCTTCTCGTGGGGCCTGTCAGAGGGGCACTTCCTGTGCCTGTCTGCCACGGGCAGCTCCCTCCCGTCCACCCTCTCCTCGAGGGTGTCCGCCCTGGGGGCCTCACAGGCCTCCCCTGCCAGCAGCCCACCTGTGAGGTTGGCCATCAGTAAGCTATGCTGCCTGCAGATGGGCACAGGTTGAGGGATGAGCAGAATCTCTCCATCTGCAGAGGAGCAGAGCACTCAGAGACCAGACTCCAAGACCCTCTCTGCCCTGACTTCATTGGTGAGGATGGTGCAGAGGAAGCCTTCTGCCTTTACAGGTCCAGTAGCCCAATTAGCAGGCTCAGAACACTTCACCCTGTTCTTCCTTTCATTTTATGGCAATTTCCTTCTTCCTCTCCCCTTTGCTGCTGCCCTCAGTCCTATGCATTTGCTTCCATGGCCTGGGTGCCCATGCCCAAGAGCAGCCTGCTGGTCCCAGGACTAGCATCCAGGTCAACATGAGTTTACCCTTTGGCTTTGGGGCCATGGGGTCCAAGGGTAGTGGCCAGGATGACCATCAACCTCAGCACCTTCCTGGGACAAGGTCCTGGCATCCACAGGAAATGGCACTCCTGTCTGATTTTGGATAGAGGCCTGACTGTCCAGCTCAGGGATGTTGGTGAGGGTGGGGCCCTGAGCTCAAGCCCTGTGACTCTTCACAGTGGCCAGKTTGGCCCTGGACCATGTAGGTTGGCAGTGTAGGGCTGCTGTGGAGAAGAGAGTGTAAGCAGTAAAGGTGGCATAAAAGGGGGGCTCTTCTCTGGGTGGGGGATCTGTCCTGTGTCTCATGGCCTTATGGTGAAAATGAGTCCAGAAAGGAGCCATCAAAGCCCTGCTGGCAGCAGGTGCTCTTTCCATGGGGTTGGAAGTGCCCTCTCTGGTCCTTCTCAGCACCCACCCTGACCTCTTTTGGGAA